CAGCAGCAGCAGCAGCCCGCACAGCAGAACGGCCAGGAGGTCGCCAGGCTGAGAAAGGAGTTGGAACGCGCGCGCGAGGAGATTCAGCAAGCGACCGTGGAGCGCGAGCGGTTCCAGGCGCAGCTCGCGGTGCTGTGTCAGGAACTGGAGAAGAATCAGGTTAGAGGCCGCAGGGGTGCCGACGCACGTTTCGGCCTCACGCCGTACTCGCTCGTGCTGCTGACGACAGTTCACAATCCAGCCATTCACATCACCAATCATCATCATAAGCACCACTATCTCCATCAATACCTCAATTGTTACCACCACTATCCCGCGCACTCTGTTCGCACTTTATAAAAAAAGAAAAAAATATTATTCCCCGATGTGCAATCCGCGAGTCGATTGTTGTGTCGAAGAAGCAGAACGATAAATCTCGTCTCTTCTTCTTCTTCTTTTTCCTCTTCTCCGAAGACAGACGCGCACAACAGACTTTTACACACGCCACCAGAAAAAAAGATATATAACGAACAGATATATGTATGTGTGTAAATATGCGTGATTTGGGACTAACCACGCTGCACCATTTACGCGCGCACATTTCTCTTATTTTACGTTATACATGTGTGTAAACAAATGTTCACAGCACAGTGCAATAACGTCCCTTCGACAGAAGATTATCAGTCCTTATTCCGACAACGATCTTTCCTTCTTTAATTCCTTTCTTCCCGACGATATTCCCAAGCACCGCCATTTGTCGCTCATTGCTACCAGAATATGTTCAAAGTTTTTATTGTTATGATTATTATTATCCTTGTTGTTTCTTACCGTCATTGTTATTGTTATTGTTATTATCGTTATTGTCAGTATTAATATTATTATTATTATCGTTGTTGTATTTTTATTTGCCCACCGGCAATGATTATTATTGTTATACGACAAAGAGAAAGCGAGCGCAAGAAAATATAAAGAACGGATAATAGAGAATAGAGATGAAATAATAAATAAATGAAAATAAATCAAATATTTGATTATTATATAGTCGCTCGCTCGCTTTCTCTTTTTTTTTCCAATTATTATTACTACATTTAGTCATTATTACGGCTGCGCTTATGTCGTGTATTAAACATGGCAACAAGAAGTAATCGTGAAAACATTTATGTTGGAAAGCATGCACTGCATCGATGAGATGAGGAAGTATCGGTTCATATCTTCGTGATTTCTCTTATTTCTGGAATATATATATTTTTTGCGTTGGAATTATGCAAGGACGTAAGCCTTTGTCGAAATATCTCAAAGAATTCTCAAAGAAACGATATCCTCCTCTCTCTGATTGGTGCACACATATATCGGGCGTTTGCTCATGTACATATATTTCTTATTGTAGGTATATACATATATTGTTTTATACTCCGCTACGTTTTTTATGACAATTAATATATCTCTTTGTATGTATCTATATATCTCGCTGTAATAACTAGATATGGAGGAGAGTCTGTGTGATGTCGCGTCCGATTCGTTTTATTATTATTATTGTCGTTATCATTATTATTATTGTTGTTTTTGGTCTTATTATTATTATTCACCTATCATGCATTCATGATTATTTTGTCACGTCGACCAGTTGGTCGGCAGCACGTAGCTCTCAATCTTTTCGCAAAATCTATTTCCCGCACAGAAATCTCAAATACATATTGTTTATAGAAGAAACAAAAGTATTGACTTGCAAAAAACGAGAAGATTGAGAGTTAGTGTGTAGCCTTAAAATCTAATTGCACTTTGGAAATTAAAGTTCACATGCGGTATAGCAGAGTACGTTGAGCCAAAGCGCAAGTAGATGGTCATCAGTTTTGCATTTTGGAATGGTCATTATGATAGCTCTTACGGCACATATCAGCTTCTCTTTCTCTCTTTGTCTCGCAGTTGATTTTCTGGCTAATCCAGAGAAAGAAAAATAATAAATCGTGCATGCGACGAAAATGCAAGGGATGCGCTACAGTCATTCTTTCCTGAATGCAGGTGGAGTTGCACGAGGCGAACAAGAAACTCCAAGCTGGCGCCGTGAAAGCTGGCGCCGATACTATACAAGAGAGGAAACAGATGGAGGAGCAGAGACGACAGTTGGACGAGCAGAGAAGACAAGTGGAAGAAAAGGCGAAGTCCATAGATCAGAAAGCTAGAACGATAGAGGAAAAGGAGAGGACGCTCCAAAGTCTCGACCAAGACCTGAAGAAGAGGAAGGCGAGAATGGACCAACTCGAGCAACAATTACAAAAGGTGATCGCATTGTTTACTAAAGCGTCCTTTTTTTTTTAGCTATATTACAGTTTTAATTGTACATATAAGTATTGCAAATATTTATAATGATTCAATATTATATAATAATATTATAATAGTTTATTGTTAATTGAAAAGCTGAAGTCAAATGATAATTAATGCTAAAAGTTTTTATTTTAGATTTTAGAAAGTGCGCTTACTTAACTTCCATTTTCAAGTTATAATATAATATAATATAATATATGTTATATTAGTAATTACTAATGTTATTAATAATTTTTTAAATCAAATTTATATGATTTAACTTATACGAACAGAGTGGCGGAGCGCCGGACAAGAGATTAGCGGAAATGCAAAAGGCACTCGAGACTGCCGAGAGGGACTTAGAAAAAGCGAAGGAAGAATCGGGCAGGAGCGCCGCCGAGATCGAGAAGCTATTGCAGGTCGTGCAGATGACACAGGAGGGGCAAAACGCCAAAGAGAAACAGATCAGAGAACTTCAAGAGTGAGTATTATTGATGATGCGAACATGATGATGCAAATATCTGACCAATCATTTCTTATAATATATCGATTCTTTTTACTTATAAACATTACGACATATTGCAGAGATGTAAAATAGTAGCTCTTTATTACAGTGTGTGCAATTTTATATTCTTTCAAAATGACATGAAATAAATTGGAGAGATGTAGATATCTTAAAATAAGTTACAACAAAATAATTATTGAAATAGGAAATAATAGATTTATTATTTTAAATAAATCTATATGGATTTTTTATTGACATTTATGATATATGCTTTGGGAAATATTTAGAGTAAGGGAAATATTTCACTACTAATACACTGGATTTTTTATCGCAGTGCACTCAAAACCGCACAAGCCAAGTTGAAACAAGCTACAACTGCACAGCAAGAGGTCAGTATATCTTATATATATTTTTTCTTGTCGAATATTGATAATAAAAAGAACGTAAATTAATTAATTTATATTAATATATTCTTCTTCTACCTATTAACTTACTAACGACTTGTCTTCTGATATTTTCCACGCTGCTTTCGGATATATACACGACATTCACATATGCGTTCACGTATCGCTGCTTACCCTCCTTGTGGCTTTTTCGTTGGTAACACACAACACATACATAATGAAATAAAAATATTACGAACTTTTTCCTTGAGGCATTGCTAACAGGCGGGACCCGCCGGATTCCTAAAAAGCTTGTTCTAAGGTCGATTTTCGTTGGGAACGCCTTCTCCGTTCTTTTTAGTACAATTTGCATATTATAAGCGAGACTTTACGAGTATAGACATACACACGAGGGACTTAAAAAACGAAGGATTGATGTCGATCCGCCAATGGACAAAACCCACGTCGAGACATATAATTATTTTACGTAAAATGCTGCGACCATTGTTAACGTATTTAATAATTATAGCGAAAGGATAATAACGATAATAACACAACAATAACTTGATATATAAATACAAATATTGAGAATATATAAATATTGAAGATAAAACTATAAATATAAATATAAATTTAACGCAGAGGATAAATTATAAATATACATATTAATGCGAGAGAAGACGACAACGGCAACAATAATGTTAATTAATTATTAATACTAAGAAGAAACTGAAGTATGTATATATATATATATAAATATATATACACACACATACATATGTATATATACATATATGTATATATATATATTCATACCTATATACCGCCGTACACACAAGAGATACAAATACACGCGCATCCATTTGTATATACATATTATTACTCACCGCGGAAGATATACGATGTAGATGTATATATGTATGCACACGCGTAAATATAAATATACGAGTTTAAATCAGGAGAAAGAAAGAAAAAAAAACGAAGGAAAAATTAGAAGGCGAACGGCAGACGCGAAGAGAAAGAAGAACGCAACAAAGAATTGCGAAGAGATATATAATTTAACCGACGATATAATTTAAATATATATCGAGATACAGGGAATAATGAAGATCAAGGATGATGTCTTGCAATCACTTGAAGACGCATATACTCTTGCGTCCTTCGCATCGATTGATGTGACACGTGTACAGAAAAAAATGCACATACACCGCATGCACCATATATACATTCACCTTTCTCTGTTTCCTCCTCTGTGCTTCCGCTTTTGTTTTCATTATCGCTATCCTGTACATTTTGCCACTTTGCCAACGAACGTCGCTTCGGCACGCATACCGCACGCTTGTCCCAGGATAACAAGGACGAGCCTTCTTGGCGAGAAGTACTAGAGGCGAAGAACCGTGCCATATTCGAGTTGGAAAGAACGATGGAGCATCTCCAGATGGAGCACGACAAGTGCAAGGACCTGTTGGGTGACGTGAAACACATTGAATCTTGGAAGGAGGAGACGGAGACGATGAATCAACACATCGTTCAGCTGGAGCAGCAATTGAAACGCTGTGAGGACCTAAAGAACGATGTCAGCGGACACGATAAGATGAGCAAGGATATCGAAATGCAAACGAAGGCATGTAAACATTGTGGCAATTCGAATGCAAAGGATTTGCATATTCTCGCGCTGGTGCGACAAGTGACGGCCTTTAGGAATTCCTTGAAGAATCACGCGGGCACAACGGAATCCTCAGAGAAAGGCGACAGCGACGAGAAGTGGGTGAACGGGGAAGTGGAAGAATCTTGGAAGCGAGAGATTGAGGCAAAGAATCGACACATTGTCGAGCTGGAGCAGAAAATAGTGTCGCTGGAAAGCCTGCGAAATAACGTATACACGCAGAGAATGCGCGATCTCGAAGAAACTATTGACAGAAAGTCTCAACGGGTCGCAGAACTGGAAGACGCCGTAGAAGAGCTGGAGGGCTTTCTCAAGGAGGACGTGAAGGAGATGCGTGATCTGCGTTACCAAGTGTCGCTCGATAAAGAGCATATTACAAAAATGGAGAAGTGGATCCAAAAGAACAACCTCACGAACGCGGGGATTGATAAAGCGAGAATTATAGAACTAGAGGAGATGGTTACGAATTTGGAACATTACGTCAGGGAACATGATATTGACGGCCTTAAGCGAAAGCTGCAAGATCGAGAGTGCAGAATTGGTCAGCTGGAGAACCAAATTTTTGAGTTGAAGAAGCTGTCGAAATTTGAGGAAAATAAATCAGGTACGCGAAAGCTTTACTAAAATTGTTATCTTGTTTTTTATTTTTAATTACATTGTTTCTATAATATTTTTAGTCAGAGACACGTCGAAGGAGAACGCTCTACTCGACGATGGAGTAGCATGCGAGCTGGAAGAAAAGATAAAGGACGTAATGCATGTCGCTTTGGAAGAGGATAACAGAATCCAAGAGGAGGAGAGCCTGAAAATAGAGTTGCGGGAGAAAGAGCAAAAGATGAAAGAAATGGGACACGACATTTCGGAAAAGGACAATAGAATCCAGAAATATGAACAACAGATCATAGAACAGCAAAATAAGATTTTGAAAATGGAGAAGGAGATGGCCGAAATGGAAGAAGAATTGTATGAGACGGAGGATGTTAGTGCGCTGAAGGAAGAGATTAAATTGAGAAACGAGAGGGTGCAGGAGCTAGAAATGGAAGTCAATTCTTTGGAGACTTCGCTCGGCGAGAGAATTGACGTCGCGATCGAGGAGCTCATTGCCACATTGAAGGAGAAGGAGGAAATAGAGCTTCAATTGAAGAAAAACCTCGCGGACAAGGAGCGCAAATTAGAGGAGTTGGACGCAGCTCTTCGTCAGAGCATCGCTATCACGGAGGAGATTGAGACGAAGTTCAAGTACGAGAAAAAGCTCAGAAAAGAAACTGACCAAAGAGTGAGTTGGAAATTTTCGTAATATATTAAACGCTTGTCTTATACGTTTCTCAGGCATTAATAATATTGAAGTAACAGTAAGTAAAATGAAAAATAAGTTTGTAGAAAAATTGTGAATTAAAATTAGTAAAAAATCTGAATGAATAATTATATGCATAATGAATAATTACAATACGAATACATTATGAATATCGTATCGCATAAACATTTGTGCTTGTCTCTCAAGAGATTCTTTATTTTCTTATCAGATTGCCGAGATGGAAGAAAAAATCGCAGTCATGCAAGCTGCTTCAGCCACGAAATGCATCACGTGCAAGCCGCTTCTTTATAAAATATTTAAGACTGAAGAGAAACTCGTCCAATCGAATCAGGAGAAGTCTATTCAACTTCAAGAATTGCATCAAATTAAGTGAGTTTTTCAGTTTTATTGAGCAGTTTTGTCTTGATAATGCATTCTCTCTCTCTCTCTCTCTCTCTCTCTCTCTCTCTTTCTGTGTGTGTATTGTTTTGTGTGAAAGCATAATACTTTTTTAACAATTTATTTTAATATTGCTGTCTCTTTTGCAGGCGTGAAGCTTTAAAAGCTGCCCTTTCTGAGAAGGACGCTCACTTAGCTTTGTTGGAACATTCAGGCATAACAACTTTAACACAAGCGGATCAGGCGGCGAAATTAAAAGCCGATAAGAGACTATTACTTGATAGACTGAGGGAAGAGGTAATTTGAAAAAATTTAACGAAAATTCTTTGTTCTTATAACATCGAAAACCGAATTGTCATATATTAATATTTTCCAGGACGAAAAAAGTATTAAGTTAAATTTTAAACGGGAAACACCACAATTATTTCAAAAAATATTTAAGATATCCGACGGCAATAAAGACGGTAGTGATAATAACAATAATTCCTTTGACGATCGCTTTAGCGAGATCAGTTCATCGAAATCAATTGCTGTGAATGGCGACAACTCGTCAAAATCAGCTAGCACGAGCTGCAAGTATTCGTAAGTTGCCAATAATAATTTTTTCAAACAATATATGAATAAATAATTAATGTTAGAAGCTCCGAAAGCTTTTCTGACAAAATATAATTGAGAAATATAGAATTAATCTTTAAATAGTTTTTTAAAAGGCGAAACACATATGATTACCATATATACATACATTTTATCTTGTAATGTCAATTACTTTTTTAAATTAGGATTATATATTTTTTGAGATATAATAATGAAGATTATTGAATTACCGTAAATGATTAAAGCGCTAACTGCTCCTGAAATTAACGGTTATTAGATATTTCGCTAATCAGAACTGCGACGTTTTGCAGAACAAGAACGTCAATGGTGTCCGACTTGAAAGACGAAGATCAATCGCGGATTCATCAGCAGGATACCAGATAAGTACTCGAGACCACCTACGGTATTTTGGAGTATCGGTCTCTTCGTTATCTCGATGTTGTCATACGCACACACATACCCGCAAACGTAGAGGCAGTGTATAGAACGTCTTTAGAAACGTAGTGAAAAAAAGAAAACAAAACAAACAACAACTACAGCAAAACTACAGTACACCACCAATATCAGCAACTACAGCAACAGCCAATACCTTTGCCTGTGCCGCTCATCACGTATCGCGCATCAATCTTCATCACCATCATCATCTTCGTCATTATTCGACATTTCTCATAATTAATCGGAATTTTATCATTCACGTGATAGTGCTTTAAAAGAATTGTCAAAATCAAGAAACCGGAAATTTCTTCAGACTGCTGTCAATCCAAATAGATAGCACTCGGTGGTTTACCATGGATGAAATATAGCAACGTGTTATAGGCATCTTCTTCTCCCTTCGACATCAGCGATATTTGGATCGTTGTAGGCGTCATAATTTATTATTATTGCAATAATGTATCGAAATATGCGAATTGTTGTTTATTATATAGTTCTTTGCAGCGCGCGGCGTACGACATTGTTAAAAAGTTGACAATTTATTGCAGGAGAGCATTGTTTTATATTTATTTCTTTAATATATTTAATTTTAGATGTATAATTAAATTAGCGCTGCAAGAAAAATTAGATTAGCAGAGGATTGAAACAAATAAGAAATGATTAACATGGATTGGAGTTTTATTTCTTAAATTTCTTAAATAAATAAGAGCTTGCTTTTAATTATTTATGGCTATTTATAATCTAATTTGCTTGAAGAATTTAACACAGCTTGGTGAGTTTACATATATCCGCATTCCTTGATATGAATAAAATTACAATTGGAATAAATATATAATTTCTGCCGTCTCTTTATCCTGCAAAGAAAAAAGTAAGTTAAAAAAAGTTGGTATTATAAGAATTTGTATCATGCTGCAATTCATAATCAGAGAAGGTAGTTTTATTTTATTATTAAATTATTTTTTATCTTTTTTATTTCTGTTTTATTTTCACGAGAATTTTATTGGGACACGATCCGTTTTAAAACCAGCGTCTGTGATTTTGAAAATTAATATTTAAGAAATCAAAACGTTTCAGAAATATTTCTAGATAAATCACCTCCTAGAGTGTCGCATTGCAATCGTCACGCTAATTAAATTATTGCAATTGTCACGCTAATCGCAAATGTGGGAATACGCAGAAGGATACGCCGCTGTAAGTACTAGGAGACGTGCAGGATGAGAATGCGCTCTTTAGGACGCACTTTGCGAAAGATCGCGGGAAGCCAAGAGAACGTAGCCGAGGCACTAAAGAAAATCTCTTGTAAATACTTATGTTATTTCTTCCATCCGTGCAATTGTCCCGAAAGTCGTGAACGATTCCTTGGAAGCTTTCCTATTTAAACATTTACATCCGTTCCCAAAATACACCACTGTAGAATAGGAATCTATTATGTACACGCATAGGTATCTCGCTGAACGAAATCCGCATTTACTCGAGACTGTCTTATCGGAGAATGCACGGTTATTATGCATAATGTATATCGCGTGAGAAGATTACAGATCGTAATCGAATATCGCAAAGGAAAAACATGCGCTCTAAAATCTCGATCGTTGATTTTAAAGAAATGGACCTTGAGCTGAAATATGCGCTTTCCTTTAAAAGATAGAAACTTGCGGCGATGTAAATTATTTAAAAAAAACGAAGCTACTTACATATTAAACAATAATGTACGTCGTCGCAGATCTGCATCTCGCAAAGCGCATTTGAGAACGCATGATGCGATATTTTATTACGTTCTCCTTTTTCTCCTAACGGTTGGCTACTGTCGAAAATTAATAGAAACGGCACAAAATGTTTGACCTATAAAAGCTTTGAAATGTCATTTTTGGAAACAAGCTGGCGAGCGACTTGGATGAGATACTGCGACGCGCGATGCAATATTTACAACGCCAGTATCACGGCGAGTGCGTTGCAGCATTTTTGAGTATTAAATATGCATCTGCTTCTTGCGGGAACCATAACGCGACAATGTATTACAAAAAGAAAGCGACCAACGAAGTGAGATCCTGTCGGATGGCACGTTCTTTTAAATCGTTCGATCTCGCTCGCCGCTAATATCGTCGCGTCTGCCATTGCGGTGAGTTAAATTGCGAAATGTTGAAAGTGTATAAAATTTTATCGTTAATATTTGAGGATAGCCCTTCTGTGTAAATTCCGCGGGTACGACAGCACTTCTCTCGTTGCTGGCTTATCCCATTCGTTAAACTCCGGCGCCTCTTTGCATCTTGACGACGTCTACGAACCATTTAGACTCAAAAGACTTATTAACTCGACTTTAATATATCTAAACGTTAGGACAACTGTAAGCTGGAATCAAAGTGCATGTTGTTGTGTGTGGCGTGGATATTTGTTTAAGCGAAGCATCGCGAATCGTAAAATGCATTTAGAGAAATTCGGAAAAAATATAGGTACATTTCTCTCTTATTTAGACGACATTTTTTTAAAATTACTTATTATATAAACCTCATTATTATTTTTTCTCTTTTTGTTTGTTAACAATGATATGTAACTCGTAAAAATTTGCTGTTTATATGTTTTAATTTTAATTTAATTTAACGAATTTAATAATATATTTTTAATCAGTAAAAATCACGATACTTGGCCACAATCCTTGCTAGAATAATAGCATGCGTTGCCACGAAACAGCTTCCTCTCTTATTTCTGACCTCCAATCTCATATAGATACACGTGCAGAGATAAGATAATTAAAATTAGTATATCACCGCAAATAAAGTAAAGTGAGAACCGTGAAAGCGAGAATTATATTTACGTTAAGTTTGAATTTTCCACAAGAATCAAATACAGACAATCTAACAGTTACCAATTACCTAGAATCTAGACCATCTAAATATTTTCTCTGTCTGGAATCAATAAGAGTTTATACAACGTGTTCTCTTATTGTTCAAATTTTTATAAAGATGTTAGAGAGATGGCGAAATTTTATTAGTGAAATCACAAGTTGTTGAGATGTTCTAATTTCCACAAGAACGATAGCTGTTGTTATTTCATTTCTGTTAACTTCCAACGTTTTACATCTTGTAATTTTCATATTTATTTGCAAGGATTATTGTCGTCTCTGAATGGACAATGTACGATTGTTAAATATCTCTTTCGCGTCGATCGAGTCGAGAGATCGAAGGTGAGATAGAGAGGAAGGACGATGAGAGAGAAATAAAAAGAAACAATTAGTTAACGTGTGCCACCGTCATATCAAGCCTATATCATCGTGTTACATCATATATAGCTAAGCAGAAAAAAATAATATTATCGTTAATTGACACAATTGTTAACACGGAACGAATGATTGGAGCGCGTGAATGTGTTGTGCGCCTGGTGAATCGATTTTTAAAAATATCGACAGCATTATTTTTCCAACGTAGAATTTTTTAACAAAATCGAACTCCGGATACTTATCTCACTTTTACGATCTCTCACTTTTACACGATATTCGACATTTCTAAAATCCGACTTTTATCCAGTCTTGATTAACATTGCGAATATTATATCTAAGTCACTTTCGATGTTTCAACTCTTTGAAGTCTTTGATATACGTCTTGCAACTCGATAATAATTAATTTGCAATTTCTGTTTCGCGAAAAGCCGCAGGGAATGTGTGACTACGTGCACGAACGGGGAAATACGACAGACACAGATAAGGTATCAGATCGAATTTCTTGTTGACATATTAGATTCTACTAACGTACTATAACAATATAATATATAATAGTAACATATTATCACTCCATGAAGATCCTTTCGATACAATCGATGTTGTAGAATTTGTGTCGTCCGCGTCGAAATGGTGAAAAGAGTTCGGGTGAGAGAACGAACGAAGGGGAGGATGCGATTGTATTTCGCAACAGATCGCGCCTAAGTTATTAGAAGCGTAATTAGTAGTAGAATAATAAGCATTCGTTAAATTTTAGGGCCGATTTCATTCTTAGCCGCGAAATCATTGTTATTTGACTTTCATTCCGCAATTGCGACACCGCGTCTATATCTTAAATCAATCATTTTCGTGAACGAAGAAAAAATGGAATTATTAAATAATTAATATTTAATTTTTGTCCCTTTATACTTAAGATTACTTTTCAAAAAGTATTACTCACAGAATATATAAGACTTAATCGCGTTATCATGATAAACTTTTCATCATATGATCATCGATGAGAATTATCGGTTATTATCGAGATCCTCCCCTCGAACCTCATCAATTTATATGGTACTCAAGGTGATCCTAAGGCGAGACTGCAGAGTGAGACGAGAGTGAGAGTCCGAGTGAAAGAAAGTGAAAGAGAAGCGGTCCTGATATTATTTTTTGACTCGTGACTGTTAAGTGTCCACGATAAGAAAATACCAAAAAAAAAGAAATACGATTTTTATGTGAATAATATTGTAAGAAACGCCGTACCGACGTTATCGTAATTCTTATCGGATGCTGTTTTAAGATAAAACCAAAAGAAACAATTAAAATTTATAGTTGAAAATTTAACAAAAATCGAAATAATATACGATAAGACAAATTAAGAAAGTAATTATTCATACTTTGATGAAAAACTTATGACAATTTGCAGACATCGGCGCTTTTAATCTTCATTACTGCTCTTTTATTTTATTTTGTGCTGGTAATGCTGATGCTGGCAACCTCGTGATAGTCTGCATTGAAAATAAAATTTATCAAAAAGAACGTTTCAGCGTCCGATAAGGCTCGACAACGGTACGACGTGATTTCAACCCGCTCTTTTTCTATTCTCCAATTTCTACGTGTTTAATCGCTAAATGAACAATTAATAACACAAGTCTTAACGAAGAGAAAACACGATAGGAAGAGACGCTTCGATTACTATTATTGTGCAACGTTTATCGTTAATAATCTCGAAGAGACGAAGAATCTCGACGCAATACAATTTTCGATCGCGTGTATATACCTAAGCGAATGATAATAATATGACAACGGGGATTTAAGTCAAAAGTGTGAGCGTGAGAGTGAATTAAAGAGCGAAAGAGAGAATGAGTGAAAGAGAGGGAGAGAAAGAGGAAGAGAGGACAAGAATACGAGTGAGATAGGTCCTGTTTCGCCTAGTCCTTGCGAACGCTTAATATTAATTAGGCGTCACGTATAATATCTCGAGCGAGTATTGCGTTTAATTCTGCCGGTAATCACCGAAGCCGTTCTCATATTCGTTTTTTTATGATTTTTTTTCCTCGCGCTTCGGTGATTTCCGGCTTCCGGGCAGGAGTTGATGACGATCATAAAACGAGAGAAAACGGCGGATTATAATGAAAAGTGCGACGAAGCTAGGAATATAAGGTTTACCGAAGTAAGTTAAGAGATAAGCTAATTAAAGTAACAGTTTATTGAAATACATTGTTGCAACTGCCATGCTGTGTGCCATTATATAACGAGTCACGTTTGTCGTAAAAAGCAAAAAGAACAAAAAAAAAGAGAGAAAGAGAAGAAAAGATGAGAAAGAGGAGGAAGACGTTAGCGGACATACGAAGTAAAATATAGTATGTCTGTGAAATATTTGTGCGCGTTCTCGTCTGTCTGAAACTTTTTGGTTTATAACGCTTTTCGGAATCGTGGAATTACACCGTCGTCCTCGCACACGTCGCACTAAAATCCCTCCTGATAATGCAGTATTTTGTTATACAATTTACTATACAATTGAGAGAACGACAATTTTATCGCGAACATCAGCGCAAGGTTTTTTAACTGATACGTAACGCGAGGCGGAAATTTATGGGCCTTTTCTTAATACCTAATCGATTTAGCTCAGAAGTTATAATTTCGCGAGTAAATAATCACGACGGAGAGAGAAAGAGAGAGAGAGAGAGAGAGAGAGAGAGAGAAACGCGTCGAGAGGATACGGAAAGGACGACGGGGTAAATACCCGGCAGTCAGATATCGCGAACGATTTCGCTCGAACTAGTGGAACTCGTGTGTGCCTGCTTGCGTGAATCGGCGTGTGCAAAATATATACAAATGTGTTGTGCAAAATATAGTAATAACGTACGAAAAACACGCGCAGGCACGTGCACGACACTTCGCACGTGAGGAATGAAGTTCCGAAACGAAATTCACGACGAAATTCGGCGCGACGATCCGTTTCTGCGATGGCAAGACGTAATCGCCGAGAAAAAAAAAGGTGCATCCTGCGCAAATGTTCTTGGATAAATTTTTTTCGACGGATGTGACAATTACGGTGAGATTTTTTTCTGTATAGATATAAAGATATATACATATACATATATATAGCATCTGTTAATAATAATAATTTATTACGCGCGCTAAGTCGTTTCGTTATCACATCGTGTTACGTAGAAGATTTATCGATGTTGTTATTAACGATTGTCTTCCTTTGATAATAATCGATAGTCCTGTATAATTGCCGTGTCCGTCGCTGTTAGTAAATTCGCAGGATGCTGTAACACAGTACATTACATCAAGTAATACGAATAAGTATTTAGAGATCTTTTTAATTCGTTAAGATTGTTTATTTTATTTAATATTATAATAAATACTATGATGCTTTAAAAATTTAATGCAATACATTTCAGATATTCAAAAATTTGTTAAATATTTTAATGTTTATTTCAGATAAATTGATTTACATGTATAAATTAGGAAAATTTATATATTTAACATGCAGGAAATAATAATTTTGTTTTAGCGACACAAATGCAAAGAATTAAAAATATGAAAACGTTTGTTTAGTGAATTTTAATTAGCGCGTAGGGCGATTCGTCAACAACCAAGTAGCAACGGATCACTATGACTGTCAATTTCGTGTAACGCGATGTCTTACAATAGTGAGTATAATCCACTCTCGTTAGTTGACAACCGACGGTGTGTGAGGAAACAAGGAAGAATTTAATAAGTAACCACGTAAAGAACGAGGTGACGTCGACCCATCATAGATTCAAAGCACAATAAGGATAGTAGGGCCAGGCACAATAAAATTCGGCCGTCACGTTGTAGGCAGCGATCTGTTAGAGCGACAACTCGTATAAGTATCCATATAGCGAGGCTATTAAATAAACACATATTGTCTATTGTCCGACGAGTGTATTTATTGTTGACGCTGATCGTTCCCTTCTGCAAGCCTCTAAGCAATCTGATATTGAATGAAATAAATATCTCACGGAGGAAAAGGCTAATACTTACTTTATTAACTCCCCAGTTCCTATTCCTGAAAATATTTAGTTAGATTCCATGCCATTTATATAGAATATAGAATATAATCCGTAATATAGGTATATACATATTATAAAAGTGTATAATGTGCATCTCTTTTGAGAGAAAGAAAAAGAGAAATTTCTATGTATATTTACATTTAATATCTTATATTATTTATACGTATATTTATTTTCTACCTATACTTATATTTATTTTTTAGCATCATGATTAAAGTATCTTAGAATCTGAAGTTTGCTTTCGAAGCTTATATTTAAGCAGCATTTCTTTTATTTTAGCTGCGAGTAGTACATAGGAATTAATAATAATTATATAGCTGTTATTTATTGTAACATCAAGATTACGACTTACATTACAGTACAGAAGAAAAAACGACGGATATGCTAAGAAATACGAATGCTTTAGTAACAGAAGGTAAGTCAATGCGTAAAAATTAGATTACAATTAGATTACATTAAATAATAACCTAACATATATAAACATAATTTATAATTTTATAATACTAATTTTTTATTTCAATATAAAGATTTTTAAAATATATTATTGGCATAATATGAACGAATCTTAAATATGCATTGGTTGCGTAACAATTTAATAGAGATTGTTCATCGGTAACTTATAATTCAGATCGATCCTCGCGTGCTCGACTGGAGCAACATACTAAAATATTCGCGTCTATGTGCCCCGACGAAATTCTCGATTATTACGACAATTACGAAACCAGGGAATACCACACGACGTTGATGCTCGGCGATGTTTCAGGTTGAAGAAATTTGTTGGATTATCACATATCAATCGTCATTACGACGAGTCACAAATTATAACGTGAGATTTTAATTACCGTGCAGGCTTCACAGACCTCACGGAAAAATACACAAAGACCGGCGTTGGCGGTCCCTCCAAGCTGTCGGAAACTTTGAACAGTTATATCGGCGCGATGGTGCAGGAGATCCTCTCGCATAACGGGGACGTCGTGAAATTCTCCGGCGATGCGTTCATAGTGATGTGGAAGCTCCAAGAAGGGATGTTTATGCGCGATATCGCGACGGAAGCGATGCAGACCGCGTGCATTATACAGAAACATTTTGGAACTTACAACACTGACGTCGGTGTAACGCTCAGAGGTTCTAATGCGTCAATAACGCTTTTAATATATTGATTGAGTTAATTCATAGATAAGTTCTGATTTGCTTAACAAATTGAATTTTTATATTTAAAAAAACATTCTAATCAGTATAAATACTGATTCGCAAATGATACACTGAGTCTCAATTACTTGCAGATAAAATAATTTTGTAACACAATAGCATAATAATATTATATTTTTTAAGAATATTGTACAACAGATTGCAGAGTCTTTCATTCAAAAGTTAATTTAATAATGTCTTTAATAGTAAAACTTGCCATTGCTTCCGGGATAACGTACTTCACGTCTATTGGCGATCCAGAAACGATGTCGTATTATGTCATCACTGGAAAACCTGTCTGGGATGTAAAGTTTGCCGAAGGATTATGCCGGTATTAAAGCAAAATATTATCTGCATTCTAACTTGTAATCTTTGCATGCAAGTAGATACAAATTCAAAGTGAAACAAATATGTCACTTTTGATTTATTAAAATTACATTTTATTAATTTTACGAAAGAAAAGCAAATCAGATATACCATATTGACACAATAAATTCTATCTAGAGGCGGTGATATTCTCGTGGCGCCCAGTAGCTGGCAATGGGCAAATCCTAACGAATACGTCTATGAGAAGTTACCGGATGGTGTACATACTTTAATCATAGCTTGCTCAGCAATGTGGTACCACTCCAGAGCTCATGATATTCACAATGGTACTGGAATCAGTACGTGATTTTACATTAGAAAAATGTAAGGAATCTTTTCTTTCTATTCTAAGTAATAATATGCATTGCAATTGCTAGATAACAGAAACGCCGAACATAACAGAAACTTTTTCGACTCATCACATGTCAAAGTGCCAAATAGTGCAACCTTAATGAATTGGACCGGCGATACTCAGAAAGAACATGATTTCGAGCAAGTCGATTATAGTCGTGAGTAAAAACGTACAATCCGAATTATGTTATTTATTTTTACATCGCTCTGAATCGGTTAAGATCGCGAATTATAATTATAAATGTTTAATTTCGTAGTGAGGCCTAAAGTCATAAGGATAGCCAAAGAGCGATTAAAGGATTCATTAAGAAGCTATATGCTCAGACCAGTAATACGATCCGTGGAAATGGACGAGCCGTTGGAGCATCTTACAGAGATGAGACAAGTAGTCATACTCTTCATCAACGTCATCACGACGGTCATGGATAACGAAGAATTGATCTCGCTCGTTAGTGCGGCTTATAAATTAGTCTGCGGGTAAGCATCCAAACTTATATTTTTATCTAACTCTCTTTTATCATCAGCAATTATATCTATAGTTACTATTATTCATTATATGAATTATATTTATAGCTACATTTATAGCTATATTTATTTATTTATCTTATAATGTGACTAGTCGCGAAAGTAACAATTTCGCTTATTACTACAATAGTTAATTTAAGAAGGAATTATTTTAATCGCACAACTGTCAATATTTTTTATTTTTCAAGGGTAGTCTGCGAGATGCACGGATGCGTGAACAAGACGTCCCTCTTCGACAAAGATCTGATATTCCTCTGCATATTCGGACTGCGCGGCGACAAACACGAGTTGGAATCGCAGATTGGATTGAGATGTGCCAGTAAGGTGCGGCAGCATCTCCTAGCGATGAGGAACGTAAAATCCGTGACGATCGCCGTTACCACCGGAATGACATATTGCGGTGTGGTCGGTCACATTTTACGGAGGGAGTATACCGTGATAGGAATGTCGGTGAATAAGGCAGCGCGTTTGATGGTCGCATATAATAACAAAGTAATTGAATAAAAAATAATTACTTGCCTTTTATTCATATTCTGTTTGTGAATTGTAGATGTATCTCGTTAGATAAATAATCTATCTTTCGCGAGTATGTCGTTATTAAATTGGGAAATAAGTTATCTTCACGTTAAAAAGTGACATAATTTTTAATCTTTTGATACTAAATTTTAGCGCATTTGTAATTAAAGATAACAAATACTTCGCTTCTATTCTATACAGAAGTGTAATCCTTATCTTTAAGGTGATATGCGATCGCGAAAGCTTCCTGCGCTCTCGTCTCGAAGCAAGACACTTTATACTGCAAGAGCCGAGACATCTGAAAGGAATCACGAACGTCGGTCCTGTCTATGAGTTTCAGGAACAGACAAAGTATCTCGCAACTTGTTTATTTTGTAATTTTCTGGAAATTACCGTTTATATCTTCGTAAAATATCATCTCTTACTGATACACGACTTTACGCGTGGTTGCAGATTTATTGCGCCTGAATTAATACGGAGAAAGTATCCTTTGCTCGGACGGGAAGCGGAAATGAAGATTTTTCGACAGATGCTATCGAATCTGATAGCACATTTCACCACGGACGAAACAACGCAGCACATACAACCCGAACATATGTTGATCATAAAGTGAGCAATCTAAATTCCCATCGGGACTTTTAGTTTAACTTTAATTTTTAATTCTTGATTATTAATTTGCAAATGCAATGTTTTACACTTATCTAATCTAGTTTTTATTGTCTTCTTTTTTCAGAGGCGAACCGAGAATCGGCAAGACGAGATTGTTGGATGAAATTGCACAGAATATTCCCGCGGGTGTATCACGCAACTATATCTCCTTGGTTATGAACGATGCTAAGGTTGACATAGAAATTGCAAGATTTTTCAACTATCACATATTTAATTTAATCGATTATGTCAAAGATACATAAAATTAAAAGCTTATTTTTCCTTTATTATTTTAATTAGAAATTACTATTATTTTAATGGAGCATTTATTTATTAAATAATTTATTAAATAAATAGTAATTTTTAATCTTTCCTAATCGAGAGTCAAGAGTTAGAACTTTTTTCAAAACAGAGTTCAAATCAATAGTTTTTCTCTTAGCACAGGTTTCTTACAGTTTGATCCATCTGATATTTTCTATACCGCTGGGCTTCAACGACGCCACTGCCCCGAGAGACCGCGAAGAAATACTGATGTCACGACTGGAACATGTATACGAACCAGAATTTCTTTGCGTCCTTAATCAGCTCTTCAACGTGCATTTCATGATGAGCCCGCGCTACAAAGCGCTATCCGGGAAACAAAAGCGCAAAGTATTGAGCAATTTTCTGCTTAAACTGATGAGAGATTGTTTTAAGGAGCTATGGGTGGTGATCATCGATAATGCCCAGTATAGTGACAATGATTCCATGAAACTGTTTCGTACGATGACCAAACAGAGCACAGTCTTCTTCATTCTTAGCATCGGACGCGAGCTCAACGGCGAGTACGAAATACACCCCACCGTTTTGGAGAGAGCACGAGTACGAACATTCAAAAGAATTAGAGGAATTAATTTAATTAAACAAAGATCGTGCAAAGATAAATGCAATAATGATCTTTTTTAACGCCATTAATGTATCATGTATCTCTTATTTGTTTTTATAATTAATATTTCGTAATGAAAAATTTGTAATAAGAAATAAAAGTATTGCATTAAATTTATATATCTTTTTGTATTTATTTTTACGATACTGCAAGACATAAACGTATGTAATAAATATATAAATTATTTTTTACTACTAATAGATTATCGAATTGGGTCGCATAGACAAGTGGTATCACGCAGCGCTCGCATGTCAGATCCTCGACGCATGTGGAATTCCTCCGGAACTCGAAAGGTTGGCCATTCTAAATATGCAAATAATTTTCTTTTGTTGAAGAATGCTTTTAATAAACAGCTAAAATATAACTGTCTTTGCGTCTATATTTTGTGTATCTGTATTCTGTCTTTTTAGATTAATTCAAGAAAGAAGTTTTGGCAATCCAGGATGGATAGAAAGTTACTTATTGAGCCTCACACAATCTGGTAGCCTCGTAATAGTGCATATCAGCAAAATGATTGCCGAGGAAATGGGCTATGTGCTTCCTCC